TCTCACCGGGAGTTTTAATTTTTACCGAACGCATCTGATTTGTGCTTGGCTTCAGTGAAACCATGGCAACCAATGGTCAGTTGGAGTTCAGAAACGCCCACAGGTGATGAGCGATCAGCGATTTGGGCAGCAAGAGGTGAAAAGTGGCTGCCAGTGTGAACGCAGGGTTAGGACATCATGAATCTGACGGAAACCTTTTCTTAGGACGTTCCTCGAGAACACATTAAAGAACAAACTCAGGAAGATATCGGAGAATGAGGCCCATTACTTTTACCAGCAGCAGCCAGCGTTGCCAGATCTGTACCGCGAATGCGTAAGCAGTTTATGGCAGTTAAAAATCATGGTTGGTTTTGGTCGGTTGCCATGCTGTCATACATGTTTCACATCTGTGAAAACATAGAACTTTAATGGGCCTGTAAGTGCAACAATAACAACAACATGAACAAAGCTGGGCGAAATATAGGCTCAGTCGCAAATGGCTTCCTGCTTCCTGTGTAGTGCGCACTGTTTATCATTATATAATGGCTTCTACACACGAACAGCAAAATAAAAGACATTTATAATCAGTCAAAGCTGCGCGACATCCTGTCTAACATTTGGTGCACCATTTGGGTGTAGAAGCCATAGTTTCATGACCTGTGCAGTGCACTATATAGGAAGGAAGGAGCCATTTGGGATTCAGCCACAGACATGCTCTCATTGCTAAGCCAGAATGATAGTAACGTTGAGCAAGTTTGGTTGCCCTTCTCGTCTCCCTGCGCTCCAAACTGGATGTTTCCACCAATAGAAAGGAACTTAACACTAGGTAGTGTTAAACTAGGAAAGAGAATGATACTCTTAGTGTTTTCAGCATTAAACACTCCAAGCTGGTCTGGTAAAGTGATGTCATAAAAAGAGTTGCTCGACAAAAAATGATGTAAAAGAGGCTGGATGTGTGTCTGCTAGAGCGTCGTAGACTTTGTCGCGTACATCAAAATCTTTAAGAGGGCGCAGACGCTGTCGCGCACTCTGATCGCATAGAAACTCAAAGTTCTATGTTCTGGATTGTTGCTGTGGTCACGGTGTGCTGCTCCACTACCTTCAGAAACAGAACAGGTTGCCAGCTATTCAGACCTACGATCAGTATACGTTCATAAGACAATTTGTTTTTATTTTCAAACCTTTTTCCGTGACTGTGTTTACTTTAAAAAGTAGTCCAAGCAGAAAACGCACCTGCCACAGTGTGATTTCCCCACGCACTGCACTTTCAGACTAACCGTTATTTTTGGGAAAACCACGAATCTGGCAAACCTGCGTGATGGAGAAAAAGCTGGTGAGTGAAACACAACAGGTGTGGAAAACAAGTAGCATTTCTGGTTGCCGTAGCGACTCTGCAGCTTAAAATCCTGCTGTTAATGCAGTTTCACTGTAGCAGCTGTTTCTAGTTCTGTGTATGCAGAGAAACAGATGGACTACAGTCTGTAACTGTAGAACTACAAAGTGCACCTATATAGTAAGTGGAGCTGATAAAATGGACAAGTGTAGAAACAAGGAGGTGGTCAGAATGTTATGCCTGATCAGTGTATATGCATTAGTTTATACATTAGCTCACCAGCCCAAAACCCTAGCAGCCCACTGGGAATTCTCCCGACTCTCCTGATTGCCCTCCCCAGCGTTGGCCCAGTCATGGTGTATAAGAAGAACAAGAGTTTTGTTTTTAATTCATGCGAAGAAAATTCAACAGAATTCCTAACAGCACCTTTGCTTGTAGCCACCAGTTAGTGCTGTGCAAACCTGCCTGGACAAAATGGACAGGATTCGGCCTTTGAGATGGCTGCTACTACTGTTATTAGCTATGCTAACATACTTTTGTCCATGTTTAAAGACAACAGTGTGTCATACAATGTCAGTACAGCAAGTATATTTGAGCTTACTTACACGGTTTGAGGCATGTATGTCATGATTCAGGCATGCAATTAGCTCCAGTGCTAATTAGTGGGGTTTAAATTTCCATTACTTCTTAGCTACATTAGTTTTTTTGTGATTGATTTACTTTACAAACACGCATATTTAAAGATTTAGTTAATAGTTGAGAGGAAAAAATACTGACACATACAGTAAGGTAGAATGCAGAGCAGAAAATTAAAAAAAGAAATTAAAAATAATAATATATGTATAATGATCTAAATAATAATGAACAATAATAATAAAAAATAATAAAAATAAAGAAAGAAAAATAAATTTAAATAATAATAGTAATAATAAAAATAAAAAAGGTGTGTGTGCTGGCAGCACTGGGGCAAAAACAGAGAAAAAGAGAAAGAAAATTCTGTCAGAAGAAATGGAGCTGTGTGCACACGATCTAAAAACGACTGCCATCCTTTAGTGAGTTTTTTTTGTCCGAGCCACGTAGATGTCTAATCTTTTCTAGGTTCATTAAGAGAGTCTAGAAGCATCAAACATGTCCTGGCTGGTCAGTTACATTTGGGGTAAGAGGGAAAACTGTGTACATCAAAATGTATCACTTTAAAGTCTGTCAGGCCTCCTGAAGAAAAGACTGCATTTCTGTCCGGAATTAGCAGGACTGTCCTGTATTCCTGAGATTAAACTGTTGACCATCTTTGGTTTGGGCACACAAACCTTACGTAACAAAATAGGAATAAATTGTGGATAAATGGAGGAGGTCACTCCAGGTCATAGGATGTGACCAAAGTACTAGTCACCATCTTGGTGGGGTGTCACAGGGGACATGATGCGCCAAAAGCAGTGGGCTTTGGATATTTTTGTAAGATCTTTTGCAATGTGGCAGTGATGTTGACTGTATGGCAAGAGGTTAAGTGGCTTAAAGAGAGAGAGAGAGTTTATTTTTGACCCTTAACTTCATATGTGTTATTGAGTTGACTTGGCAAAGCTACTGTTCTTCATTTTATTATTCTACTCAGACTCACATACGTACTACCTATACACACACGCACCTTAGCAACAGCCTAGCAACACCTTACCACCACCTGGGATAACATAGGAACAGCTTAACACCTTAGAAAACACTGGGATACTATAGCAATGATCTGGCAACAACTTAGCAACCATTGGAATACTAGCTAGAACGTAGCATCACCTTAGCAACCACCTGGAATACCTTACCAATGGCCTAGCTGCCCTTTAGCAATCACATGGCATAACATAGCGACAGCTTAACAACACCTTGGTAACCACTTAGGATAACAAAACTATGACCAAGCAGCACCTTTACAACCACCTAGGATACCATAGCAACGGACAAGCAGCACCTTAGCAACCACCTGCAATTACATAGCAAAGGCTTAACCACACCTTAATAACCACCAAGGAAATAACAGCAATGGCCGTGCAACATCTTAGCAACCACATGGGACAACATAGCAACAGCTTAACATCTTAGGAACCACCTGGGATACCATAGCAACGACCTGGCAACACCTTAGCAACCACTTGGAATGGAAGCAACAGCCTAGCATCACCTTAGCAACCACTTTGAATACCTTAGCAATGGCCCAGCAACCCCTTAGCAATTACCTGGCATAACATAGTGACAACTTAACAACATCTAGGTAACCATCTGGGATAACATAGCAACGGCCAAGCACCACCTTAGCAACCACCTGGGATAACATAGCAAAGGTTTAACAACATTTTAATAACCACCCGGGGCATAGCAAGGCAATGGCCATGCAGCACAGTAGCAACCACCTGGGATAACATAGCAACAGCCTAACAAATTAGCAACCACTTGGGATAAAATAGCAATGACCAAGCAACGCCTCTGCAACCACATGGTATAACATAGCAATGGCTGTCCAGCACCTTAGCAACCACCTGGGATACCTTAGCAATGGCCTGGCAACCCCTTGGCAATCACCTGGCATAACGTAGCGAAGGCGTAACAACTCCTTAATAACCACCTGGGATACAACAAAGCAATGGCCATGCAGCACCTTAGCAACCACCTGGGATAGCATAGCAATGGTCATCCATCACTTTAGCAACCATTTGGGATATCATAACAACAGCTTAACACCTTAGCAACCACCTGGGATAACACAGCAATGACCAAGCAACGCCTTTGCAACCACCTAAGATGCCATAGTAATTGCCATGCAGCACCTTAGCAACCACCTGGGATACCTTAGCAATGACCAAGCAATGCCTTTGCAACCATCTAAGATACCATAGCAATTGCCGTGCAGCACCTTAGCAACCACCTGGGATAACATAGCAACTGCTTAGCAACAACATTCCATAGCGACGGCTTTGTCAGCTGAACTTCGTTCACAAACCTTTCCTGTCTAGCTTTATATCTCTGAATAAATATTAATAATGAAACTGTGGCATAATTGCACTAGTGTGCAGATCAAACATGACAGATTTTATCCATTTGTAATGTAACTGTGTCAGTTTATTGTCATGTTATCATATTATGACAGGTGCCATAAAGTTTGACATAACGACAACTAACTAGAGTAGATTTAGCAAAAATTAGCATTTGACGAAGGCTGCCATGATATCAAACTTTATCACATCTATCATGGCAGTTGATGTAATGGTAACATGACAACTCACGACAGCATACGAGATCCTCCATGACATGCTTATGGCATGGTTATGTCACTGATGTGTAGCAGGACTGAAGTTTACAGACATCTTTAGTTCGTGTTGCTTTTCAGACTACCTGCGTCAGAGTTCCTTTGAGGCCCACTTCTTCAGAAAGTCTCGTTCTGTGTCTTTTGGTGCTTCAGGGTTGAACGGCAGCGTTCTCACTTGTTCTAACAGAACAGTTGCACCAAGGTTTCTTTCAGTGAAACTAAACCTGCCAAGTTTTAACACACCCCTAAAGTCACAGGTACTTTTCAGGCTCAGGTCTCAGTTTCATGCCTGTGCAGAACTCTAATCTGCTTCAGGCTAAAAAATAGAAACATTGCACAACGTTTAGATGGATTTGTTTATATTCTTCGCTGATAACCTTTCCTCATCCTCTCCTCCAGGTGCTCCTGTCATAGTCTCCTTCCCTCATTTCCACCTGGGTGACCAGAAGTACGTGGACGCCATAGAGGGACTGAAGCCGATTCACGACCAGCACCAGACCTTCTTGGACCTGAATCCCGTAAGCAGCCCAATAGGGCCACTTCTATTATGTAAATAATTAACACAACCCAATATAGTCTGCCAGCCAAGACATCTGTGGTGTCCTTCGAGTCGTTATGTACTCTCAAATGTACTTTCTAAAGCTCTCTGAAAACAGTGGCAGCCAACTTGAAGCCTCTGAGGTTACTTAGCTCAACATGGTTTGAGGCGAGTGTGTGTTGATTCAGGCATGCCATGCTAATTTGTGTGTACATACACCAATGAGCCAAAACATTATGACCACCCAAAGATGAAGTAAATGACCCTGATTGTCTTGTAACAATGACAGGTCAAGGTCAGGGATAAATTAGTAAGCCAACAGTTGGTTCTCGTAGTCGACAAGTTGAATGCAGGAGAAGTTGGCAGGCGTGAAGACCTGACTGAACAAACTGTTATAGCCAGGCGACTCAGTCAGAGGAAATGGCATGGCTTGTGGGGTGCTTTCCGGTCAGCAGTGGTGTGTACCTACCAGCTGCGGGTCCAAGCAGGGGCAAACCTTGAACTCATCATTGCACAAGGGCAACGAAGGCTGTCCTGTCTGGTCTGAGGCTACTATGGCACAAATCACAGTGTATATGCTGCTGCGTATGGGGCTGCCCATACTGACCCCTGTCCACTGTCGTAAGCGTCTGCAATTGGCATGCAAGTGTCAGAACTCGACCTTGGAGCGATGGAAGTTCGACCGAGGAGTCCCACTTTCTTTTACATCACTTGGATGGCTGGGTGTTTCCCTGGGGAAGTGATGGCACCAGGATGCACTGTAGAAAGAAGACAAGGTGGTGGAGGGAGTGTGATGCTCTGGCCCAGAGGTCACAAACCAAATGTTAAAAAGAGCCATTTTGTCCTTTCAACCAAAATCAAACCACCTCAGGAGCCACAACACTTTATATCCATTTTAACATATTGACTGTAAATATGTCTCAGTATGTGCTGATGTAAGATCTATAACCTGAGATGAAAAAGGCAGTGCAATAAAATGACTGTACAAGGAGGCACAGGTAACAGCATATCATGACAATACTGAATAAATATGTGCAGATATTGGTACTGAAATAAAGTGTCTAGGTGTGGAGTGTCCAGATGTGCAAGATGTGCGATAGGGGGGTACAGAAAGTGCAATATGTACAGTAAGGTGTCCACATGTGCAGATGGATAAAATAAACCTAAACCTATGATTTAACATGAGATGTAGTCTCATCTCTCCTCTTCTCTCCTCTCTTCAGAACAGAAGAGTTTCTTGTAAAATGTCTCTCAGCATTCGACTTTAAACGAGGCTGAAGTCGCTTCTCATTCACCAGCCTCTTGTTCAAATTTCCCCGTTCCACCTTAAATGGCGCCTGAGGCGGCAGAATGTAACTGCTGCACCATTTAAGGTGGAATGGAAGAATTCGAATGAGAAGCGACTTCAGCTACGCAACTTTTTAGTGTTTGTCAGTTTCTCGTTGCAGATTAAACGTATCAGGAAACCAGCTGGAGTGATTATAAACACAAATAAGTCCATATATCTCCAAATTATTGATGTTCATCTTAAATCTCTCTCTTTGTTGTTTCGTTAGCTACTAACTAGGCCAGAGTGTTGTCTGTGTTGCTATGGTGACCAGCAGTCTGCGCTGATCTTCAGGGTTAAAGGGTGAATCAGCAGTTCTACATTAACTCCACAGTTTAAGACCATTTAGTGTTAAACTGTGTTGAACGATCAGCAGAGCTTTATTTTACTGTAAAGGAGGATTATTTTATTTTTACCTACAAATCTGATTCACCGCAACATCACAGTAAAAGAGCGCATGCTGCTGGAGCCGCAGGTTGCCGACCCCTGCTCTGGGTGATGTTCTGGTCTGGGCATTCATAATTTGGCACAAGCCACCTACCTACACATCATTGCAGACCAGGTACACTCCTTCATAGTGATGGCATTCCTTGATGGCAGTGGCCTCTTTCAGCAGGATAGTGACCTGCCACACTGCACACATTGTTCAGGAATGGTTTGAGGAACGTGACGAAGACAAAGTTTTGTCACACACTTCTGTAACCTAAGAATAGCTCCGCCAGTTTGCACTGAAGTCTCGGTAGTTACTGAATAAAGAGCGTAGTATGTAAAACCCTGGGATTTTAAGGGGTTAAAGGATCTGCCGCTAATGTCTTGGTGCTGGATACCACAGGGCACTTTAAGAGGTCTTGTAGAGTCCGTACCTCAGCAGGTCGGAGCTGTTTTGACGGCACATGGAGGACCAGCAGCATATTGGGCAGGTGCTGTTCTTGTTTTGGGTCATCAGTGTTTACATTTCTTCTTAGCCACATTGGCCTCGTAGCTTCAGTGCGAAAACTAAAGCAGCGAAGTTTAGACACCAGATATGTCTCGGCTGATCGCTACATTTGGGGTAAAGTGAGTGAAAATTTTCCTTAACTGTTTGTTTAGCTCATAGTAACAATGTTCGGTAGCGAGTGCAAGTGCCATTGTGCCCCAGCTGCTGACCCTGCGCCCTCATCACCCATCATTACTTTCACTTAACAGACGAGGACCATATCTTCGTCCAGAACCTCGTCATATTTGCTCATTTCTCCGTCCCTGACCTGCACAAGCAAGAGACATGGCTGTGATCTGTGACATTACAGATAGCTCGTTAAGTGAGCGCCATGATTTGGGATTGATTTCGTTTAATATTGTTGAATAACAATTACCATTTTGAATGAAGCACCAGTTTTTATGGCCAAAGCAGGTTTAATAAACCGACAAGCAGTAGAGATACGACCTCTGAGAGGCCCGTTTAGCACCCCCCCCAGTGGCCACAGACCCCAGTTTAAGAACCACTGGTTTAAATCATAATGAGTTTTTTTTTTAATTCTGGCAACTTTTCAGTGCCAGAATGTAACCCTGTGAAGCACCTTCTTGCGCCCTCTAGTGGTGACTGTATAGTCGCACAGGAAAAGAAGCACAGTGGCCGCTGTCTCTGGTTAAACTGGTTCCAAATATTTTGATTCACATTATTTCATCAGATGGAAGATGAAGACAGATTGTCAGGGTTTATTTTCCGTAGAGCTTTTGTTTTACTTCCTTTATTGAATTTTTTTTTCTGTAGTTGTTCTGTTGTGCGTTTGAAGTTCCTTCGGAATGAAAGCTATTTGTGTGTGTGGCTGTGTGTATTTCAGACTACCGGTGTGCCAGTCCGTGCCTGCAAAAGAGCCCAGATAAACATTCTGCTTGAAAGAGTGCCGGGCTTTCCGTAAGTACACGCCTTTTCACAGCTCCGCCCTTTGGTTCTACATGCTGTGCTGTTTTGTGCCAGCACTTTATCTTATTTATGAAATCAGTGTTTTGGCACAAGCATTGTGTGCATCTTTAACTCTCTGTAGGGTCTCAAGGATGATGAAGGCATGCACCTTTTGGGGTTGTGGGAATATTTGGCTGCTCAATAATAAAAAAGAAGCATAATAATAATAAAATATACAGAGAATGTTAAAAGATTTTTTTTTAATTGTTTCGTGGAAATCTACTGTACTCTACACTCGTGAAAAAGATGGTTCTTTATGGGTTCTTTAGTAAAGACGTTGGTTCTACATAGAAGCATGAACACTCAAAGACTCCTTTGCATGTTTAAATGGTTCTTTGCATCAGGAAATAGTTCTTTCTGTATACTCCTAAAAAAGATGGTCCTTCAAGGTTCTTTAGTAACACAATGGTTCTGTATAGAAGCATGAACACTCAGAGAACGATTTCCATGCTTAATGGTTCTTTGCATGGTGAAATAGTTCTTCACATTGTTGGGGAATGTGCTGTAGATGGTTATTTATAGAACCTTTTTGAAAAGGGTTCTATATAGCACCAAAAAGGGTTCTTCTATTGTTACAAGCTTGACATCGTAACAATGGAAGAACACTGTTTGGTGCTATATAGAACCCTTTTCAAAAAGGTTCAAAATAGAACCATCTACAGCACATCATCCATCATTTTGAAGAAGACCCATTTAATGATGCAAAGAACGCTGTGATCATGCAGAGTGTTCATGGTTCTATATAGAACCATTTTCTTTACTAAAGAACCCTTGAAGAACCATCTTTTTTAAGAGTGTAGAACCTTTTTGAAAAGGGTTCTATATAGAACCAAAAAGGGTTCTACACTCTTAAAAAAGGCTTCTATCATAACAATAGCAGAACCCCCTTTGTTGTTCTATAGAACCCTTTTCAAAAAGGTTTTGTATAGAACCATATACAATTCTCCTTCGATCTGAAGAACTGTTTCACCATGCAAGGAACCATACATGCATGAGAAAAGGTTCTATGTAGAACTCATGGTTCTAAATAGAACCGTTTCCTAGAACCATCTTTTTTTAAGAGTGCACTCTTCTGTATTTTTGAAAAGTATACTTTTAAAGTAACACATTTTAATTATACTTTGTTATTCTGTGAGGATGTACGCTTGAGTAAATGTATTTCCTAACACACTTAAACAAAAGCATGTCAACTTAAGTGTATGATTTAAAAGTGCATTTTAAATCAATGACTTTTAAAGTGTGCTTTAGTACATTTTAGGTGCAATATAACTCAAACTCAGGCTACGAATATGGGCTTCCCTATACATTTAAAAACGTTTCAAGTGTAGAACTTGCATCTTAACAGTTACTTAAGTTAACTTCACTGCAACATTTTTAGAACAAAATAACATTTATGGGCATCAAAGACGTATTTCTACATTACTTATATATAACTTAAGCATATACAAGTTGTGTTTAGTTATTCCTAATAATATATTTGTGTATACTTAATTATGTCTTATAAAAGTTCACTTAAGTATATTTAGTGATATTGAAATCTAATTTAAAATGCTGTTAAGTGCATTTTAGCTTAATAAGTAGCACTGATGTGTACATCAGTACATCCAGTAATATGTTTGTATGTTTCAAGTGTAATAACAGTCACAAATTAAATACCTATATCTACTTAAGTGCAACTTAAGTTGTTCCCAAAAAGAGCATTCAAAAGCACAACTAAATGCATTTAATATAAATTTAATCATAGCTTAATTGCCAATTAAACACACTCAAGTTTCACAAGTTCCAAATAATGTATTGAGTATGTATTAAAGTTTGTTGACGTGTGTGAAAAGCACACTTAAGTGAACTTTCCCCCAGAAACTTCAGCTTTCATAACAATAAAAGTGAAAGAGGAGCTTAATGATGTGTGTGTTAAGTCATGTAACAGCACGAATAGACCAGCTTCTCTTTGTAGTTGTTTAAGCAATATGAGCTCCATGTTTTGAGATGATTGTCTGTTTTGGTTTTTCTCCACCTCATTGACTGCAACCAAAACAGCAGTGGAACAACAGTTATGCTCTGTTTATGGCTCACGAACATACCTACTATTGATGATGCGCTCAATTTGGCGATTAAATTAAGTTTGATGATTAAATTGAGTGTCTTTAGGTGTGTCCCAATTCAGGGGCTGCATCCTTCGAAGGCTGTGTAGACCCGCGAAGCCTGAACCAAAATGAGACGCTCTGCTCTACGGCGGATTTCCTGTTTGTGTCACAGCGCCGCTGTTCCCGCCCTCACCGCTGCGTCACGAAACGCCGCTCCTGTCAAGTTCTTTTAAAGTTCTTTAAAGATGGAGAAACATTTGTGTCGTTCGCTGTTCGACTCAGTTTAAACCCAGTACTTACATTTAAAGTGTCTCCTCAGCCGCCGTTCGCTCCTCTGCTGACACCGCCATGTTCTCGAATCCTCACCGGCACACAGTGAACCTCGGGATATGTTGGCTGGCGAAGGATCCACCCGTTGGATCCTTCGTTGCCATGGAAACGAAGGACACATTTCTCAGCCGCATATGAAGGAGCCTTCCAAATGGGACAGCCTAGTCGTGCCTCTGTGACGCGCTCGGCCTTCAAACGCAGCCTCCGAAGGACACAGCCCCTGAATTGGGACACAGCCTGTGAATCTTTTGTGACCTCTCTGTGATTTATCTCGACTCTCTCATGTCTGCAGAATGACCAGAATGCTGAACGGCACCATCTTCCCCATCATGTTCCTCAACGAGGTGAGAGATTTCAGACTGAGATTCTTTCTCTGCAAATCTGCTTCCATTCGTATTCGTATTCGTATTGATCTGATGAACCTCATCATCTTCAACACCAGACTGTGAACGGCTGGGTGTGATAAAAACACGGCATGGTCGGTATTTGGGTGCTCAGACATCGCATACCAAAATCAAGGGTATTAATTAGGGATCTATACGATTAACTGATCAACGATTAAGGGAGAAATCAGCAATTGTTCGACCAGTGCTGTTGGTCTAAAAAACTTTGGTTTCCAGTAAACAGCAGTGGTCATTTAAACAGTTCTTGAGCTGTCTGTATGAGTGCACTATAGCTGACGTTCCACTACCATTAAAAAAGAAGTACACAGCTAAAAGTAGTGGCGTTCAGGAGCGCTTTTCGAGGGGACGACAGCACAGCTGCAAACATGTGTCATGTTGAAAGCAAACATCCACAAACAGTAAGCTTGTTTGGGTGGTTTTGAGTGGGAAAAATAACTTCAGCATATAAAACTTTCCACCTAGCAACCAACTAGGATACTCTAACACATAGCAACAGCCTAGCAATCGCCAGGAACACCATTGTAACCACCTAGCGCCACTTTAGCAACCACCTGGATACCATAGCCACACCCTAGCAACCACCTTGCAGCACCTTAGCAACCACCTGGGATTCCATAGCAACACCCTAGCAAACACCTAACAACCACATTGCAACACCCTAGCAACCACCTGGGATGCCATAGCCACACCCTAGCAACCACCTAACAACACCTTAGCAACCACTTAGGATACCACAGCAACCACCTAGTAACATTCTAGCAACCAGCTGGAATACCATAGCAACTGCTTAGTAACACCCTAGCAACCTCCTGGGACACAATGGCAACCTCCTTGCAACTGCCCAGCAACCGCCTAACAGCACCCTAGCAACTACTAACAACCACATTGCAACTCCTTAGCAACCACCTGGGATGCCATAGCAACACCATAACGACCACCTAACAACACCTAAGCAACTTCTTGGGATACCATAGCGACCACATAGTAACATCCTAGCAACCAGCTGGAATACCATAGCAGCTGCTTAGTAACACCCTAGCAACCTCCTGGGTCACCATGGCAATCTCCTTGCAACTGCCCAGCAACCGCCTAGCAACACCCTAGCACACACCTAACAACCACAGTGCAACACCCTAGCAACCATCTGGGATGCCATAGCAACACCATAACAACCACCTAACAATATTTTAGCAACCTCTTGGGATCCCATAACAACCACATAGTAACATCCTAGCAACCAGCTGGAATACCATAGCAGCTGCTTAGTAACACCCTAGCAACCTCCTGCAACACCATGGCAACCTCCTTGTAACACCCCAGCAATCACCTAGCAACACCCTAGCAACCATATTGGGTACCACCTAGCAAAACCTAATTAACCACCAGAGATACCACAGCAATCTACCTAGCAACACCCTAGTGACCTGGAATACCATGACAACCACCAAGCAAAACCTTAGCAACCACTTAGCAACACTCTAGCAACCACTTTGAATACCATACCAACCACCAAGCAACCACCTGGAATACCATAACAACCACTTAGCAACACCCTAACAACCACCCAGGAATTATTTAAGCTACTTGGGCTATCACTCTGCATTTTCTTCACAAAAGGCACCTTCTTAGTTTTGTTCTCTAACTTTTTTCGTTGGCGCAGACTTTAAAACATAAACACTCTGTGGGTTAATAAAAATGTTATTAAATCTTAATATGCCTGGCCTGACAGAACACGACGCTTCAGAATGTGACGATAGATAAAACGATTAGATCACAGGCCACTACAGACAATCAGTTAATGATGAAAAGCTCTTAGTCTGCTGGATGAAGATGAGTTTGGGGTTGTACTCCACTGCACAACTGTCAGTTTGGGCATTGTATGTCGTGTATTGATCGTCCATTGGTCAGATTAAATGGCAGTGTGAACCGGTCAGTCTGTCTGCGTTGTGTTCTGTACTGATTATCTGCTGGCCAATTTCTTCATCACAGTCCGTCACCATTGACGATGCCTCGGCCGCGAGGCTGCACAAGCTGCTGTCCATCGCCACCATCGTCGCCAACTTCCCCTTCATCCTCATCGCCCTGGGAGTCATCCTCTTCCTCATCAGCATCCTCCTCATCATCCGCTCGCGTCAGAGAAAGGTAAAGAGTCTGCCTGTGTGTGTGTGCGAAAGTGAGAATGTGTGTGTGTGAGAAACAATGTGTTGTCCAGCTGCCCAGCGTGAAGGACAAGGCTTCCCTGAAAGATCGCCAAATTATTCAGCGCTTCAACTTCTGTGCAGCCACTGTTCCGATAAACCCCAGAGGAATGTGACATTTTAGCGTCAGGCACTTTCACGCAACCTTACGATCCTGTCTTGTGACTTCAAAGCAGCCGCTCGTTAGTTTCCCAGAATGCCTCGCGCGTTCTATTCAAATCTTCCAAAGAGTGACTTCTTTGCAGCTTTACAGCAGAGTTGTGGGAGTTCAGTGAAATAATAAATTGGTGAATCTTGTTTGTTCCTCAGCTTTAAAGTTCAGCACAGCCGTGCAGGAGCGTCGCTGCTACTTTGTGACTGAAAAGGATCAACTTAAAATGTTAGCATTAGCCAGATTATGTGTTCTCTGCTACGGAGCCCCTAAGGAGCCATGGTTAAAAAAAAAAAAGTTAATGACATTGAGTTCCCTCGCAAATGTTTTGCATTACAATGCAATGTTTTGCATTCGCTTGAAAAAGCTGTGCTTTGCTTAAGCTCAGAGACGGAGCAGCTCATTGAATTTTACGTTGATCTTGGATTGAAATATAAAGACGTGGTGTCGCTTCTCAAAATCAAACATGATTCTTCTGTTAGTGACTCTAAACTGAAACTGAGGTCGAGTCCTCCTACAGTAAAAGCTACATTTACATAGGCTGCAGAGAACAGCAGCTGAATAAACTCAGCACTGACTGGCCAAACTGGGAAAACAGCTTTTAATGCTAGCTAGTAGGCAGTGTCGTTGGGCACCTCTGGTCCTACATTTGCTTGCTGTCTGACAAGCATATATTTTGTGAGGGAACGCAAAACATTTGCTAGGGAACGCTTTTTTTGCAAAGGAACGCGTTTTATTTGCGAGGGAACGCATTTTTTTTTGAGGGAATGCATTTTATTGTGAGGGAATGCAATATCATTAACTTTGTAAATGTAGAAAAAGAGAGACTGCTGATAGAAACAAAAACTAGCATACATGCTAATAACGTTAGCATTAGCTACGTAGCTCCCTAGCTAAACTCTTTAGAAAGTGATAACAGTAAACAGTAAAGGACAGTAACAGGCGACCAGAGTGTGTATATATATATATATATATCACTGTTGTCGGAACAAACCTCGTATCTCCAAAATGGTAACTTTACAGGAGAAGAAAAAAACATACTCTACTTTTAATGTAAGTCAATGGAACCGGACGTCTTTCCAAGTCATTTTAGATCATTTTTGTTGGTCCATTGATCGTGGAAATGTACACACAATGTAAAGAACAACAGGTATTTTCAAATTATGTCAGAAACTTAAAAAACAACAAAAATGAAGATACAAGGTTTGGTTCCAGCAGCAGCGATATATGCATGCATGCCTGAACCATGTATTTCCATGTAACTAACCCTGTCTGTTTCTGTATATGCTCTCATGCTATGCCTGAAATCAGTGGCCTAACATTGTGACTAATGCTTTGCTAATGATTGATTAACACTGGAATGCAGGAGTGGGCAGCTCCAGTCCAGCGAGGGTTGACCCCGTCTAACACGCCTAATTCAGGTCATTATAAACCCACTCGATGAGTTGAATCAGCACAAAAACACTCCATGGCTGGAGCTGCCCACCCCTCGTAACAACACTTAACCGTTCGTGAACAGCTGCTTTGCCTTTTTAACCCACATTTCTCCATGTGCCTCTTCATTCAGAGGGAAGTTAAGCGCTTTGACTTTGCAGCAGTTTACTATTCTGGCCCTGTAAGTGTTCACTAACACCTTCTTCCACAACACTTTCTCGCATTTTCACTTTCCGAAACTATTTACTGCTTTTAACGTCACTGAGACTGAAGGGTGACTTGATAGGTGTTAGCGGTCAGTTTAGTGAAAAAACTAGAGTGGTGGAAAGTCACAGTAACGGAACCCTTGACCCAAATGTGGCACATTTTGAGAACAAAACCTCACTCTAGGTCTTCTGGAGGTTCTAGATATGTCAGCGACTGTGAGTACGAGCCGTAGCCTGGCCAGTGAGTCTGTTAAAAATGAAAAAAAGCGGCAGCTCTATGCTAGTGTAAGGTAAAACATGCTAATGTCGGTTAGAAGCTTCACATTAAACATGAAATGTGTTTTGTAAGCTTCAAATGTCCGTCTTCTATGGAGGAACAGATTTGCCAAAATGAAAAATAAATAAAATTAAAAATAAATGACTTAGTCAATTAATATATGAAGTAAAATTGCAAAGAATAATGATGATAAATGTAAAAAATAAATAAATATACATTAAAATTAATATATTATTAAATAAAATCTTATATAAATTAATATGTCTGCATTTATTTATATATGTCTATTTGGTAATTACCCCTTCTCACTCATTTTTGTTTGTTTTTTTTGTTTTTTTTTGCTATTTATATGTTTATTAACATTTTTCAGTTTTTCTATTCATTTATTTCCATAACTGTTCATTTCTATATTTATTTATTTCTCTATTTATTTATTTCTGTATTTCCTTGTCCTTATGCTAAAAAAGGGGCTGTCAGTCAATGATGTCACAGCGTCTTAATATTCCTGTTGGTTGATCGATTGTTCATGTCTTGCTCTCTCAGCGGTAACTAAGGACAAGACAGTACAGTAACGGCTTCTTACAGCAGCAGACAGTCAGAGATCTGAGAGTCTCGGCTGATTATGCTGAAAATGCGGATTATTTACTGCTTCGTTGGAGGCTGTGGGCCATTTAGCTGCCTCTGCTGATTCAGAGGTCGACCCTGTAGTGTTCAGAGCTTTGGAGGAGGCGGTTCAGCGTCTTTTTCTGCAAAATTCAGATCACTCAGACGTTCGGACGCCCTTCTCACACACGGCCTGAGGAGCCCTCGAGGGTTATTTATCAGCAGGTCTGTCTGTCCGTGACACTGCAGCTCTTTATGGAGTGAAAGAACAGTTTAATCAGCTCTTCTCCTCCTGGGCTTGATTTGCCATGCCTGAACGGGAAAAACACGCCCCCTCATTATCATATGAACAAAGAAATACAGAAATAAATAAATGAATTATGAAAAAATAAATAAATAAATGAATTAATGAAAAAATAAATAAATAAATGAATTAATGAAAAAATAAATAAATAAATGAATTAATGAGAATAAATAAATAAACGAATACATGAATCAATGAATAAAGCGAACAATTGTGAAAAATATAGATACAGAAAAAATGGCATTAATAAAACAAAATAAATAACAGAAATAAATAAATTGAGAAATATATAACTGCAGAAAAAGGAGATGTGTGTATAATTACAGTCACAATAAGCAATATATGCTTTATTTGTTTTTTTTTATTTATTGATTAATTTACTGAGCCATTTATTTTTATTTTATTTATTTTTCAATTTGGCTGATCTGGAGACGCCACTCATGACTCAGACTCGTGTCACGCTCGACTCAAACTTGCACGTCAAATACTGGAGACTTGGACTCGGACCCTAGAGGCTCGACACTTGAGACACGAGACTTGGACTCGGACCCTAGAGGCTCGACACTTGATTTTGGACTCTAGAGACTCAAGACTCGACTCAGACTCAGACTCTAAAGACTCAAGACATGACTCAGACTTGGACTCTAGAGACTCAAGATTTGGTTTCAGTCTTGGACTCTAGAGGCTCGAGACTTGACTCGGACTTGGACCCTAGATACTCAAGACTCGACTTGGATTCAGACTCTAGAGACCCGAGACTTGACTTTGGACTCTATAGACTTGACTCAAACTGGGACTTGGACTTTAGAAACTCAAGACTCGACTCAGACTCGGACTCTAGAGACTCAAAACTTGACTCGGACTCAACTCAAAAGTCTTAAGACTCAACTCAGACTCTAGAGACTTGAGACTCAACTCAGACTCAAACTTGGACTCTAGAGACTCAAAGCTCGACTCAGACTAGGACTCTAGAGACTTGAGACTTGAACTCGGACTCTAGAGACTCGAGACTTGACTCGGACTCGAACTTGGACTCTAGGGACTGAAGACCCGACTCAAACTCAGACTTTAGAAACTCAAGACTTAACTCGGACTCGGACTCTAGAGACTCACGTCTCGACTCAGACTCAAACTTGGACTCTAGAGACTCAAGACTCGACTCAGACTAGGACTCTAGAGACTCGAGACTTGAACTCAGACTCTAGCGACTCGAAACTTGACCCGGACTCAAACTCGAAAGTCTTAAGACTCAAGACTCGACACGGACTCTAGAGACTCGAGACTCGACTCGGACTTGCTCCCCAGAGGCTCGAGACTCAACTTGGACTCACACCTCAGGGGATTGACTCGCCCTCTCACCTCAGAGACTCACTCAACTCAGACTCACACCCCCAAAACTCGGCTCAGACTTGCACCTTAGAGACTCGACTCGGAAGACTCACAAGAATCGACTCGTGAACATCTCTGTCATTCAGAGACTCCGGTGTAGCCTGTCGATTGTCTGTCTGATTAATTGTGCACTTACTCAGTTGGCTGATCATAACCACTCAGGCGTTATTCCAATTTGATGAGGAAAAGCTGTAAAATATTTCCACAGCTGCCTCAGAGGAACTCATCTAAAGCCTCATTACCTGAACGCTCTGGCTTGTGTAAACAATCCAGACGTCATCAGCTGATTTTTCTCCATCAAACTAAAGCCCTGAATCAGGTCCACTGTGGCCTCGTAAGCTGATTAAATCACCCTGGCATTTTCTAACCTGACCAGCTCTCTGCCGTCCTCTCCATAGTAACTAGTGTATGTCTTGCTTTAAAGCGTTAATTGACGAGATGTCTAATTTACCCAGTTCCCCCTCCTTAACCCAAATGTAGTCAGTCACACATGATTTCTTCTTTAATTCTGCACTGGAGCTCACGGCTAACATTGCTAACAAGTAAAGGAAGCTTATGCCCCACCAGTTAGCATCGCACGGATTCAGGTGTCAAGTTACCTCTATAAGACTTTCTTATGTAGTTTCTGACCTCATGACACACTGTTAACTATAAACATGTAATGTACATGCTTAAAAAAGATGGTTCTTCAAGGGTTCTTTAGTAAAGACAGTAGTTCTATGTAGAACCGTGAACGCTCAAAGCACCATTTGCATCCTTAAATGTTTCTCTGCATGGTGAAATGGTTCTTCAGATTGAAGGAGAATGTGTTGTATATGGTTCTTTATAGCTCCAAAAAGGGTTCTTCTACTGTTACAATGTAAACAAAAAAAGAACCCTCTTTGGTGCTATATAGAACCCTTTTCAAAAAGAAACCATGTACAACACAATCTGAGAACCGTTTCACCATGCAAATAACCATTTATGTTTTTTTGAGTGTTTATGGTTCTATATAGAACCACTGTCTTTACTAAAGAACCATCTCTTTTAAGAGTGTTTGTTTATAGATAACAGCAGTGGGGAACCTTCAGGGCCTTTTAGGTCTTTGTTAAAAAAAAAGACCTATCGAGTTCTTTGGAAATAAAATCATTTTTACTCATTTTTTATTTAATTATCATTCTTTTTGTACTTAATTCATTGTGAAGATTTAGTTGGAGGATTAAATAGATTAAAGTCTTGAAACGCCCAGTGGAAAGTTATCCAGTCAGGATTGTTTTTCTCTGTGGTATCTAGGCAGATACAGCCAAGTGAGCTCTCCCGTTGGTTAGGACTTCAGGAGCTGAACAGAAGGCCTAAAACATCAGATTGACCACTAACATGATTAGGAAGTGGTAGTGAAATCAACCTATCACGTTTTGAAGTCCAATGTTTGTGAGAACAAAAGGTCACATGCGTCAGGCTCCAGTCCTCGCCGGCCAGTACTCTGCAGACTGCATCACACCGCCTCATTAAACACACCTCATTCAGCTCATCAGCTAATTAGCAAGGTCTTCATGAACTGAATTCAGAGCATCAGATGGGGGTAAACGCTGATCTCCACAGCACTTTGGCCTGGAAAGTGAGAACACATGCCTGCTCTAGGTCTTCTGGAAGTTCTAGATATGTCACCGACTGTGAATGTGGGCGGTAGCCTGTGGCAGCTCTATGCTAGTGTATGGTAAAATATATGCTAATGTCGTTTACAAGCTTCACATTAAACATGAAGTGTCTTTTATAAGCTTCCAATATTCGTCTTCAGTGTAGAATGTTCAAGTGACTTGCCGCTTAGCTTAGCACGAGCATACCGCTAGAAGAAATAGGGATGCTAGCAGAATCCCTAGCATAGCGGAAATCAGGAATGCTAGTAGAAATGAGCATTACTGGGTGTTTTTGTCCACATAAAACATCACATAATGTCTTTTAGAGTTAACTTAACAACTCAATGAAGTTTGAGGCAAATTTGTGATGATTTAGTCATGCAGTTAGCGCCATGCTAATCAGTGAAGTATTAAATAAGCTTCCGTTACTTGTTAGCTACATTAGCCTTGTAGCTCCGGTGCAAATACTAAAGAAGCAAACTTCACACACCAAACACACTGGTTATTCTTTAATAATGTAGTTTATAGATAGGGATGCTAACAGAATCCTTAGCACAGCGGAAATCAGGAATGCTAGCGGAAATTAGCATTACCATAGAGGTGTTTTTGTCCTCATAAAGAACCACGTAAAGTCCATTAGATGTTACTTAACAACTCAGCACAGTTTGAGGCATATTTGTGATGATTTAGCCATGCATTTAGCGCCATGCTAATCAGTGAGGTATTATATAAGCTTTCATTACTTGTTAGCTACATTAGCCTCGTAGCCCCAGTGCAAATACTAAAGAAGCAGACTTCACACACCAAAAATACTGTGGTTATTCTTTAATAATGTAGTTTATAGATAAGGATGCTAGGGATGCTAGCAGAATCCCTACCATAGGGATGCTAACAGAATCCCTAGCATAGTGGAAATCAGGAGTGCTAGCAGAGATTAGCATTACTGAGTGTTTTTGTCCTCATAAAGAACCACATAACGTCTTTTAGATGTTACTTAACAACTCAGCACAGTTTGAGGCATATTTGTGATGATTTAGTCATGCAGTTAGCGCCATGCTAATCAGTGAGGTATTATACAGGGAGATTCACTTGAAAGAGGCCCCGAATGTTCTGTACTAACTCTCTCTAGGACGAATCAATCTGAACGAAACAATGTGCAAGGAGCTCCTCGGTATATGGAGCGATGAGTTAGGTGCCATTGCGACGTTTAACCTCCATTTGCAGCTTCTGGGTGCAGACCCCCGCACCCCTTCATGTGACTGTCAGAAAACGGAGATCACTTCCAGCATCGCATGTAATGCAATCGATTACACATGCGTCAATATATGCAGTGTATTTTTTTGGGTCAGATTGCTTCATCCTAACGGGAGTTACAGAAGAACATGAGGGGCCTCTTTCGAGTGAATCTCCCTGTATAAGCTTCCATTGCTTCTTAGCTAAATTAGCCTCGTAGCTCCAGTGCAAAAACTAAAGAAGCAAACCTCCGACCCCAAACACACTGTGGTTATTCTTTAATAAGTGTAGTTTAACGATCACTTTAAGGGATTCTTGCGTGAGCGCTTGGTTTGAGATGTATCATCGTGTTTCTCTCCGCTCTTGTTTCCGCAGACCACGGCGAAGAAGGACACGTCGTACTCCCCCGTCAGCGCCAAAGCAGACGACCCGGCCGAGAAGAACGGGACATTCATTGGCATGACGCCAGTTGAGAAATCCTGAACGGGGCCTGCGTCAGTGTTTGTGAATGTGTGGTTTGGTGGGGGGGGTTTAGGGGTTGGGCGGGGGGGTATGACGAGTGTATGAAACATGAAAAGCTCCCACAAATGCTGTCAGTCACTAATACCAGTTTTCGGAGTAGCACAGCTTCAACAGCAGCTGATTGGCGGATGAAATCTGACACCACTGGCCTTCCACTCAGGACTATGAATGGAGCTATGAATGAATGAATGAGTGAATGAATGGATGGATGGGTGAGTGAACGAGTGAGTGTGTCACCATGTATAAGAGAGTCTCTATTCTCTTTGCCTTGTTGCGGTCATTTATACCGAACCGTCCCTGCGCTAACGGCGCACGCGGTCATTTCAGGTCACGCTCAGGATCTGAGGGTTACACATATCGAGTATTTTGAGAGAAGCTTTAGACTGAAAATGCTACTGCGTTTTCTAAGACCACTGGGATACCAACCGTCACGAACAAGGGGGGTATTTTTACACTTTTTTGACACGTTTCCTCCAACACGTCTCCCCCGCTAATGGCGAGAGGGAACAGAGTGCCTTTACGCTTGGCCGTGCAAAAGTTACCTCTGCACATTTTAATGCACAATCACTGCGTATTTGCTGCGTTCAGCTCAAAATAAAACGTGAAATGTGGCCTGTGAAAAAGTTATATTTAAGTTATATTACACTTTACATTTGATGCCTTGTTTTTTTTCCAGTACGTTAAAATCGTGCACTGAAATTTGCAGAATAATATCATATTTAAGTTCCCTGTCGACGATGCGTTCACTTATTTTCACTCAATAAAAATTTTTATTTGTGGGGAAGGGGTGCCCAGACTTTTGCATGTAGCTGTAAGTGAGCCTTTTTTTTTCACTTTTGGTGGACAAGCACAAACTATTTGTGAAATGCACTGTCCAGTCCCATTTCACGTCATGTGATTTCAACCTCGAATGTCGACTGAAAAAAAAAAAGAAAATTGTTAAATGTTAAATATAAAAATAACATTCCATAGGAATGTTTTCATTAAAGGGATAGTTTGGTGACAAATCGATCAAATAAACCCAGTTCCCACAATTTTCCCCCAGTGTAGATCAGTCAAGACGTTTGGTGTGTGAAGCTTGCTGCTTTAGTTTCACACTGGAGATACGAGGCTAATGTAGCTAACAAGCAGTGGAAGCCTATGTACACCAATTAGCGTGAGGCCTAAATCATCGTGCATTTGCATGTGAAATTATAAAGTAATCTCAAACTGCGCTTGCTTATTTGGTTTCTGACACACTGTTATCTAAAAACATTTACTGAACAGTAGGACCAGGAACGGTTCCTGGTCTTACTTTTCTTGTGCGCAAGAATATAAAAGAATTATTACCTAATTATGATCAGAAATAACATGAATAATCTTTAGACTTCACTTTTTCTGCAAATGATACTGAATAAAAGTCTAAAAGTTGCATACTTGGCGCCCCCTAGTGGCTCTGAGGCCCTAAGCAACTGCACACACCACTTATAGCAAGAAACAGGCTGAAAATACAGACCGCTGCCACCATTTTTATGTGATTTTTATGCTGTATGATGTATTTAATTGGGTAAATCTGACTTTTCACCAAACTATTCCTTTAACACTTTCTGTTTGGCCCCCTGATGTGGGCAGCTTGCTGATGATTGGAGACGGAAAGTGCTCAGCTCTGATGGGTATCTGCAATGTGATTGCAGTTCTGTTACTGAATGAATTTGTTTTTGTCTTTTTGAAGTGAGAGGATTACGCTAACATCATGCTTATGTTACTATCTTTGTTTTTATCAGCTATCACTAAACCTGCTGCATGAGTAAATAACTTTATTCCTATTAGGCAAACCAAGTATATTGTCACATTGCACTAAAAAAAAAAAAAGCTCAGTGTTATGTTAACGTGCACAGCAGCTCCGTTTGTAAGTGTAAACGGTCAGTCTTTTGGCCATCGTTTCCATTTCCTAATACATGCTGATCTAATCGTGTGCCAATCATGTGCTATGGTTTTCATGAAGCTGTATAGAGGCTTTTCAAGCACTGGTTAAACCCGATCGAGGACCATTTTCGCAATTAATGGAGATTTTTCCAGACGAGGCTTGAGCTATGTTTGAAAATCCAGGCCAGAAACTGCAGTTTTGGTGGGGATGCACTTCTGCTTTCTTCGAAATGACGAGCCTTACGTTGATTCTGTTCAACATCACAGTCAAAATGGAACTGAGAGTAATCGGGCCAGTGGCGTGAGCCGTGCACGCCTCCAACGAGTCATTTCAAAACCATTTCTCAGAGTAAACAGATGCATTTGGGTCGAAACAGGTTTCAGAGGTCATTGAGTATTATTTCATGTGGATTATTAATATTATGGAAACTCCTCATGTACATTTAATGTAGACGACAGGATGATTTGTGTAGTGATTTTTAGCAATAAGCCTGGTTGGAATGTGATTTTAAAGCTGTTTAGTTTTGACCACACTGAATGTGTGAAAACTGTTTTCAACTGTGTGCCGTATGTGTTCGATGTGTAAATGTGAAAGATGTATTGTGAACATTTACACAAAAAGCAATTATCCACGTTTATTTGAAGAATTTAATACAGTCTGACCTGTACACGACACGAGCCCTTACATTTCAAAATTTCAGACTGCACAAATTTCTATACAGAATTTTGTATATATGAGAAAGCCATCCTCTGTGTTTCCAATAAATTAATAAATCTGTTGTAACTAACTTGAGTTTTGTTTTTATTACAAGCCACAGTGTGTATTTCCTTCTTATTTATACATATCTGGCCACTTTATTAGAAGCACCGACCTTGTGCTTCCACTAACTGGCCACTTTACTAGAAACACCCACCTTGTGCTTCCACTAACTGGCCACTTTATTAGAAACACCCACCTTGTGCTTCCACTAAAAGGCCACTTTATTAAAAACACCCACCTTGTGCTTCCACTAACTGGCCACTTTATTAGAAACAACCACCTTGTGCTTCCACTAACTGGTCACTTTATTAGAAACACCCACCTTGTGCTTCCACTAACTGGCCACTATATTAGAAACACTGACCTTGTGCTTCCACTAACTGGCCAATTTATTAGAAACACTGACCTTGTGGTTCCACTAACTGGCCACTTTATTAGAAACACTGAATTTGTGCTTCCACTGACTGGCCACTTTCTTAGAAACACTGACCTTGTGCTTCCGCTAACTGGCCACAGAAAACCCTATCTTTTTTTTTTTACCAGTATACTGTACTTTTGACACAAAGGGAACCAACATTGTCCTGGTTAATCTAATAACAGAGTAACGAGGAGAAATATTTTGATTATAATAATTACTAATATCTGGAATGGCCACAAGGGGGCCTGGAGAAGTCATGAGCTGATCAGTTCAGGTTATGAACACACCGCCTGATATCTGAGACAGATTTGAAAAGGTTTTGGCCTAAATATATGTTTTAACTCCGTTCACGGTGGAGGGATACATAATATACAGGGCGCTGTGAGGCAAAATAGTCCCCAAAGAAAACTTATTATTTTAGATTTTCCACTATTTTCCATCATCAACATTCCATATAAACTCAGAAGACTCGTGTAGGTTCACTGGTGGTTCTGGATAGTAAATAAAATGTCTATATTTGTGTTGTAGTCATGGCGACCCCTGGTTCCTATCAGCACCACTGTAAAGACATCTGACCCATTTCACTCCAAACCACTTTTTTTGAAATGTGAAAATGTGGTGGGATTAGCCTTCTAATGATCATATAGTCTGTACTATTGTGTTTTATGTTGTTTATTAAACCGTCGCCTCTGCGGCGTCACTCTCCACTCCGCTAGATGGCAGTACACAACAGCACAACCGAAGCTTTCGCGTTTTCTCGTGATTTCTACCCTTCTCACCGTCAGCGTTGCATCAGAGGCAGTTTAAACCCGTTTTTCCCCAGTAAAGCTGAAAGAAGTCGGTGAGTAAAGCTGCCCGCTCCGCTTCTGAGCGCCTTAACCGTGATTTATTTGACAGAGTGTGTTTATAAACCCCAAACTGGACACAGTAAAGGCGGTTTGTTTACGTGCTTCTAGCCGGAAGTCAGCGCTGAGTGATGTAACGTTAACGTTATGATCCGTTCAGCTCTGAACAAACTGAATAAAATACTGAATAAAAGCACTAAAATCCTCATCAGAGCGGGAATAAAACAGCTGTTTACCTGCTGGTTGACTACATGTGTCCGTCAATGACTGGGTCTGATTAGAAACCCAACAGCAGCTCGATTTACTCCACTGACCACACAGTCTCTCTCTGTAGTTCTACAGTTACAGACTGTAGTCCATCTGTTTCTCTGATACTTTGTTACCATGTTCTTCAGTGGTCAGGACCCCCATGGACCCTCACAGAGCAGGTACTCTTTGGGTGGTGGATCATTCTCAGCACTGCAGTAACACTGACGTGGTGGTGGTGTGTTAGTGTGTGTTGCGCTGGTCTGAGTGGATCAGACACAGCAGTGCTGCTGGAGTTTTTAAACACTGTGTCCACTCTATTAGACACTCCTACCTTGTCAGTCCACCTTGTAGATGTAAAGTCAGAGACGATAGCTCATCTGCTGCTGCACAGTTTGTGTTGGTCATCCTCTAGTCCTTCATCAGTGGTCACAGGACGCTGTTGGCTGGATATTTTTGGTTGGTGGACTATTCTCAGTCCAGCAGTGACACTGAGGTGTTTAAAAACTCCAGCAGCACTGCTGTGTCTGATCCACTCAGACCAGCACAACACACACTAACACACCACCACCACGTCAGTGTTACTGCAGTGCTGAGAATGATCCACCACCCAAATAGTACCTGCTCTGTGAGGGTCCATGGGGGTCCTGACCACTGAAGAACAGGGTAAAAGGGGGCTAACAAAGTATCAGAGAAACAGATGGACTACAGTCTGTAACTGTAGAACTACAAAGTGCACCTATATAGTAAGTGGAGCTGATAAAATGGACAATGAGCGTAGAAACAAGGAGGCGGTCAGAATGTTATGCCTGACCGGTGTATATATGGTGTAACATTTTGGGAGAATTTCTGTGTAGTAAAGCTGAAGGGGAGTTCCACCAATTTTTCAAAAGTTCTGAATACTGTAATCTTTGTGTTGTAAACAGAGTCTTTCAGAGTGGTTTGATGTGAAGTGGTTCACTGTAGAGAAACTGACTGACTCTGATCTCTTTAGAGCAACAAGGGGTCGCAAATATAGCCGTTTTATTCACTGTCCACAACCACCAGTGAACCCACACGAGTCTTCTGAGTTTATATGGAATTAATGATGGTAAAATAGCCAGAAATCTGGAAAACTATGTTTTTTTGGTGACTGTTTTGCCTCACAGCGCCCTGCATGTATCCTTTCGCCATGAACAGATTCAAACAAATGGATTAAAATACAAATTAAGCCAAAACTTGACTTAATATAAAACAGTGTGTTGAGCTTCAGGCAGTTTTTACGTGTTTTCTTTGCAAAAAGCTAAAAACAGAAGACACAGAAGCTTGTAGACCCCTGCTCTTCAATTAATAGTGAGTTTGTCCCTCTGTGCTGCAGTAACAGCCTCTACTCCTCTGGGAACGTTTCTAGATGTTGAACCATTGCTGTGAGGATTTGATTGAGCATTAGTGAGGTCAGGTACTGATGTTGGATGGTCAGTTCTGGATCACACCAGCTCATCCCAAAGGTATTGGATGGAGCTCCATCACTCCAGAGAACACAGTTCCACTGATCCCCAGCTCAATGCTGGGGGGCTTTATACCCCTTCGATTCTATTCGAGTCTATCGGTCAGTCATTTTCTATAGAGAGCACCTGTGCCAGCAATGGCTGCACCAGAAAGTTCCTGAATTGACTCATTAGAAGTCCAGAAACCTTTTGACATACAGAAGTGTGCATGTACACTGGCTTGGTAGACTCAAATGGAGCCCTTAGAATTCATGTATTGATCAGGAGAGTACAGAACAAAGTAAAACAAATATATAGCTTGAATAAGTTCTGTCCACCCAATAAGATGCTTTTCAGCCGATCAGATTGTGTTGTCACAAAACATGGGTGTTTGGTCGACTCTGATTGGTCTAATTCGTCTACAGGCAGTTCACAAACTCTGTGGTCCAGCCACTTAAAACCTAAGACCATGTTTTTGATGATGTAGGCAATAATTTAAAAAGTGTACTCTCTTAAATTGTGTTGTTTTTTATTGTTTTTCTTTTTTTCTTCTGGAAGACTGAACTTCAGCCATGGTCTGCATCCCCTGCATCGTCATCCCCGTCCTCCTGTGGGTCTACAAGAGATTCCTGGAGCCCATCATCTACCCGTTTATCTCGCCGTTCATCAGCCGCTTCTGGACCAAAAAAGCAGTTCAAGAGACGGGCACAGGAGCGGGCACAGGAGCGGGCAGTGCCACCTGCAAGGTAACCCATGAGAATGACACGGTGGTGGATTAGTTACTGCTCAGAGTGGGCGCCATCTAAAAATAGTGGAGAGTGGTTCTAGACTGTAAGTGGGCACATGTGGCTGAACTAAGCATTCTAGAACACAATTATATGTGAAGCGAGTGTTCTAGAATGCAAATACTCAATAGCATAGCATTGCAGAAGTGTGTCCGAAATAAGCGTTCTAAACACAGTGAGTTTTCTTGAATGCAAATGTGCAATATCTGTGTGTTCTAGAACACAAGTGTGACTAACCTACTTCTTGTTCAAGCTTGTAACAGTAGCAGAACCCTTTTGGGTGCTATATAGAACAAAATACAGCACATTCTTCATCAATCTGACGAGCAGTTTCACCATGCAGAGAACTATTTAGGCATGAAATGGTTCTTGATTGATGGTCAAGCTTGTAACAATAGAAGAACCCTATGGGGTGCTATATAGAATATAGAACTTTTCAAAAAGGTTCTATATACAACCATCTACAGCACATTCATGCAGATTTTCCATGAATCTGAAGAACCCTTCCACGATGCATAGAACCCTTTAATCGTGCAAAGGCTTCTCTGAGTGTTCATGGTTTTATACAGAACCATTTTCCTTACTAAAGAACCCTTGGAGAACCATCTTTTGTAAGTGTGTAGTCGTAACTAAAGCTTTCTTCCAAAATATCCATTTCATCCAATATCCATTCATTTTTGTTGCACCCAATAAAGAATCCTTGTTCACACACAAATGTACTGAGGTCTTAATCCCTGTTTTTCAGGCGGAGTGTAACGGGAACGCGAACGTCTCGGCGGCTAACGGATCCGCGACGGCCTCCGACAAGAAGAAGGACTGACACTACACGCCTGTTCGAAGACGTATCGTGTTCTATGTGTCTCGCTGTAGATATTTTAACCATAGATTAATCTGCATTAACCACGATGTCCTGGTTTAATGGCGTTGTTGGACCTGGTCTGTTCACACGCACACGTTTAATTCAGATTATTTCAGAATTTCCACTGATGAGCTCTGACTTGTGAAGATGTAATATATTGACTCTGTGCACTGCTGGTTCTTCATTCCCTGATCAGGCTTCAGTTTGAGAAGACTTGGGGTGCTTTTACTTCTGTATCTTTCCAGAATAATCTGAGTTAGTGTTTAAGAGAAATAAATATTTAAATTAAACTGGTTGGAGTGTTTTTTGAGTGTTCTTTTAATATAAAGACTAACAAGTCTGAGCTCATACTAGTCATTCAGAGTGGTTTGGTGTGAAACGCTCAGTTCTAGAGAAACTTACCGAGTCAGAACTGTTCACAGTGGTGGTGATAGGAACCAGACGTCCACCTCTAAAAGCTCCCTCACAGAAAGTTCCTACATGAAATGGTTATGAATTCACTGCCTGATGACTGAGACACTGTTTTATGTTAGTTTAGAGAACTTAAACTCCATTCATGGTGGAGGGATACATGCAGGGCGCTGTGAGGCAAAATAGTCCCCAAAGAAAACTTATTATTTCAGATTTTCCACTATTTTCCATCATCAAAAAGGCTCTAAATAGAACCATCTACAGCACTTAAAAAAGATGCTTCTACAAGGCTTCTTTGGTGAAGAAAATGGTTCTACATAGAACCATGAACACCCAAAGAACCATTTCTTCAGATTGATTTATGGCTTTAGATGGTTCTATACAGAACCTTTTTGAAAAGGTTCAAGGACTCTATTTAGCACCCTAAAGGGCTGTTCTATTGTCATGGTGTCAAAACGTGTAACAAGAGAAGAACTCTTTTCAAAAAGGTTCTATAAAGAACCATCTACAGGTGTTTGGTGTAGTGTAGTGGGTAACACCTCTGCCTTCCACATTGTAGACTGGGGTTCAATCCCTGCTTGGGTCAGCACCCCACACTATACCAGTAAGAGTCCTTGGGCAAGACTCCCAGCACTACCTTCGCCTAACTATGTAAAAATGATCAAATTGTAAGTTGCTCTGGAGAAGAGCTTCTGCCAAATGCCATAAAATGTAAAAAAAAAAAATCTACAGCACATTCATGCACATTTTTCATCAATCTGAAGAACCCTTTCATGATACGGAGAACCCTTTAATCATGTGAGGGGTTCTTTGAGTGTTCATTTTTCTATATAGAACCGTTTTTTTTACTAAAGAACCCTTGAGGGACCACCACCTTTAAATGTGTACAATCAACCATTTCACACCAAACCACTCTGAATGACTCTGAATGCGTTATTAAGTTGTTTTTGGAGAAGAACCACCACTGACTGCATTTCGTATTTGGTGTGGTGTAAATGATCCTGTGATGTTTTTACACTGATAGATTATTTTAAAGGAGTTTTAGAATCATAATTAGTTCTGTTCAACAATAAAGAAGCGTTTTATCTTGATATTTGTTACATAAAGTTCCAGGAGCCGCTTTGGAAAAGCAGTGAAAACAGCTGAGTCAGTTTTATTCGTGCAGTAAAAGAATCATCACAATAACAACAATGTTATGGTTCCACCTCCCTCCACCGCCAGGGGGAGCCACGCGTCTGTTTTACACAGGAAATGACGCCACACGCCACGCAGCGGTGAATACCACCCCTTTCCGGGTGTGTTCCAATTAGCACACTTGTGCACTACCTAGTGCAGATGAGTGAAACGCTTCCCTCTCACTTAACTACACACTCAAAAACGACGGTTCTTCAGGGGTTCCTTTTAGAACCACGAGCGCTACATATACAACCATTTGTATGGTGAAATGGTTTTTCAGAATGATGGAGAACGTTTTGTATACAGTTCTATAAAGAAAGCTTTTTGAAAAGGGTTCCATGTAGCACCAAAAAGGGTTCTTCTTTTCTTACAAGCTTGACACTGTAACAACAGCAGAACCCTTTTTGCTTCTAGTGTCTACACAAATACACACACATCAAGAGTTCTAGAATGTAAGTGCGCACTAGCCAAACATTACAGAACAAAAGTACACACAGAGTGGTTCTAGACTGTAAGTGTGCACATGTGGCTGAATAAGCATTCTAGAACACAAGTACACATGAAGGGAGTGTTCTAGAATGCCAATACTCAATAGCTTAGTGTTCAAGAACACAAATACACACACAAATAAAGTGTTCTAGAATGTAAGTGTGCACTGGCCAAACATTCTAGAGCCCAAGTAGGTGCAGTGTTCTAGATCATAGGTGTGCACAAGTGTGTCCGGACTAAGCGTTCTAAACACAGGTGCGCATGAAATGAGTGTTCCTGAATGCAGATGCCCAATACCTATGTGTTCCAGAACACAGTTGTGGCCGAATTAAGTGTTCTAGAGCGTAAGTGCACACTAGCTACTTGGAGAACGAGAACGCAAATGACAAGAAAAAGTGAGCACCAGCCAAACGTTCCAGAACACAAGTACACAAAGAGCAATTCTGGACAGTAAGTGTGCACATGTGGATGAACTAAGCATTCTAGAACACAGTTACGTGCGAATAGGTGTTCTAGAATGCAAATACTCGATAGCTTAGCATTCCAGAACACAAATACACACACATGAAGTGTTCTGGAATGTAAGTGCGCAATAGCCAAACGTTCCAGGACAAAGGTATACTCAGAGTGGTTCTAGACTGTAAGTGTGCACATGTGGCTAAACTAAGCATTCTAGAACACAGTTACGTGTGAATGGGGTGTTCCAGAACGCAAATACTTGCAGTATTAGTGCTCCAAACACACAAATGCTCTAGAATGTAGTCAAGCGTTCTAGAACCCAAATCGACACAAACTAAGTGTTCTAGATCTAAGCATTCCAAATACAAACGCTCCAAAAGCTGTGTTCCAGGACGAAGGTACACACAAACTAAGTGTTCTTAAATGTAAGTGCACACTAGCCAACCGTTTAAGATTGGGCACAAAGTGTTCTAGATCACGGGCGTGCACACATGTATCTGAACTACGCGTTCTAAACACAGGTGCGCAATTAAATACCACAGTGTCAAATAGCTGCCCGTTCCAGAACGCAAGCACAGACGAATGTTCTAGAATGTAGTCAAGCGTTCTAGAACCCAAACAGGCACAAACTGAGTGTTCTAGATCTAAGGCATGTCCAAATCAAGCGTTCTAAATGCAAACGCCTGATAGCTGTGCGTTCCAGGACGAAGGAACACACACACGAAGCGTTCTAGAATAGAACGCTTAGGATGGCTTTGGGCACAAACAAAGCGTTCTAGGTGTGCGCACGCGTATCCGAACCACGCGTTCTAAGCCCAGGTACGCAATTAAACGACAAAACCAAGTGTTCTAGAACGTGCGTGCGCATGATCTGTAATTCAACGTCAGACCTAATGTTCCAGAACACAAGTACGCGCGAACGCAGAGTTCGCGAGAGCGTTCGCGTTTTAGGCCACTTCGAATGGAGTGACGTTCGCGCGGATTGGCGCGCGCCCTCGCATCGCAGCTCAGCGGAAAGACTCAATATGGCGACGCTGGAGGTTGAGCAGAGAAAACTCGGCCGAAGTTCCTCCGAAAAACAAACCTGAGCGGGCAGCGCGGCGGCGGGGCTTCCCTCACCGAGACACCGGGGCGTCGGCGCGGACTGATGCCGGTTCGCTCCGTGGATAATTCAGCAGATTTTCCGAGGTCGCTTTCCGGAGCGGAGTGTCGGAGCGGGCGCCGAGGCTGTCAGCGGCGCGGGTCCGGCTCTGAGGCGCTCTCCGCGGGTATGGTGGCCGAGGCGGCCGCGGCGCTGCGGAGTTAAGCGGTTCTCGATCGGAGGGTGTGCGGGGCCGAGGCTGCGGGGCTCTGTGAGGAGAGCAGGCGGAGGCCGCCGCCATGTATTTCCTGACCGGCTGGCCGCGGAGGCTGCTGTGCCCGCTGCGCAGTGAGGAGCAGCCCTTTCACCTGCAGCCCAGCCAGCACAGACTCTACTTCGCCGTGCTGGCGCACACGCAGCTCAGCGTCTGGTTCAGCCGGGTGAGTCGGGGGAGCCGGTGCGGAGGGGCGCTCAGACACCCGGGGGTAACTTTAGCGGTGCTTTAGTGCTGTTTATCCACCACCAACACGGAGTTAGCGATCCAGTTCTGCTTTCAGACTGGACAGAAGCGACGGGGCTGACGTTGGCTTCCTCTTCGCCAGTTTCTCGTTCGAAATGTTCCCGTTCCACCTTAAATTGAGTAACTGCTGCACCATAAAAGGTGGACCGAGGAACGTCGAACGAGGCTTAGAATTAATTCAGTGTCCTGTTTCACCTTAAATGGTCCAGCATTGTGTTCATATTCGCCAACTTCTTATTCGAAATTTCCCGTTCCACCTTAAATGGTTCAGCAATGGTTACAAATTCGCTAGGTTCTGGTTCGATTTTTCCCGTTCCACCTTAAGTGGTCCAGCAATGTTTATATATTCGCTAGCTTCTTGTTCGAAATTCCCCGTTCCACCTTAAATAGTCCACCAGTGTTTTCAGATTCGCTAGTTTCTGACTCCAGTTTTCCCGTTCCACCTTAAACGGTGCAGTCTGTAACTGTTGCACTATTTAAGCTGGAACAAGATTTAGGACTAATTCGAAAGTTCCGTTCCACCTTAAATGGTCCAGGAGTTGCAAACCGCAGCTCGCGCACAGGCATCGGAATGTACTGCGCCATTTAAGGTGGAACGGAATATTCGTGTAAGAAGCTAATTTAGGGCTCTGCGCTAAAGTCGCAGTTACTGTAGTGTTTCTTCTGAACTGTTTTAAGTTTAAAGCGCAGGTTTAGAGATTTTTGCGCTAAAAGTTCACGGTATTAGAGTTTTACTGCTGTTTTTATATTAAAGTGCTCGTTTTAGTTTTGCTTTTACATTCAGAACCCGGTGCTGCTGGTTTAGAGCAGTTTATACACTTAAAGGGGAATTCCACCCACTTTTAAAATTCCCCCTTACTTCAGCTGGGTGGTTCAGAGCGGTTTGGTGTGAAATGGTTCAGATGTCTTTACAGTGGTGCTGATAGGAACCAGGGGTCGCCATGACTACAACACAGATATAGACATTTTATTTACTATCCAGAACCACCAGTGAACCTACACGAGTCTTCTGAGTTCATATGGAATGTTGATGATGGAAAATAGTGGAAAATCTGAAATAATAAGTTTTCTTTGGGGACTATTTTGCCTCACAGCGCCCTGCATGTATCCCTCCACCATGAATGGAGTTTAAGTTCTCTAAACTATCATAAAACAGTGTCTCAGTCATCAGGCAGTGAATTCATAACCATTTCATGTAGGAACTTTCTGTGAGGGAGCTTTTAGAGGGGGACGTCTGGTTCCTATCACCACCACTGTGAACAGTTCTGACTCAGTAAGTTTATCTAGAACAGAGCGTTTCACACCAAACCACTCTGTTTACATCTTAACCACTTAATTATGCAGAAATTGTGAAAAATCAGTGGAGTTTCCCTTCAAACCACATGGAGTTAGTGGTCCTTTGGTACTGCTTTTAAAATAAAAACATTCAGGGTCTGTTTTTGAGTGTTTCTCTTAAGCCTCCGACCCACGGGGTTGGTACTGTGGTGCTGATCTTACAGTAGAGCATGTACTGCGCTGGTGTGTTTTAGTCTCACTTTCACTCTCAGAGCTCTGGAGTCTCGTCACGGCGCTGGTCTGCCGCTGATTCTACAGTAAAACCATGAGACATTTACTGTAATTTTACAGTAAATTCTGTAATTTAGTGTACCTTTATGTCTTATCTTACAGTAAAGATTCACTGCTTTGGACGTGTGGTTTTTAGTCTGACCTTTCACTGAAATGTCAGTCAGAGGCCTTTTACTGCTGTTTATGTAAAAGCAACTTTAGCCTAAGAACCATTTGTATTGTTCTCACAAGTGTGACATACTCAAAATAAAAAATACTAAGGCTTAGTTTTGTTTTTAGGATGTTATAAACAGTGATGGCCTAATAAACCTGAATTTAACTGATGTTGACTAGATTTTTAGTAACATTTTCCATTTCAAGTGGCCAAATTTTCATTGCCACACCACCAGTATTTGAAGTTGAAGCAGTAAATAATTTAACTGTTGCTGAATTTGTTAATTTTTTATAAGAAATTATAAACATGAGCTGTTAGTCTATTTACTAAACAGCCCTTGCAGAACCTTCTTTAAGAGCGTAGGTATGTGCCGGTAACAGAATCCTCCTTTTTTAGGGTTCCCTTGTGGAACATGACCTCAGTAAATCTGGTTTGGTTGAACGATTAATCGCTTTTATATCGAGATCACAGATTTTAAAGAGTGCAGCTTTCGAATCACAGGAGCTGAAGTTGTGATAGGTAGTTTGCATCTAACATCACGTCACTGTGTTGCTGCGCAGGTGGAGGACAGGAAGTGATTTTCTACACAGGAAGCTGTCACAACATCTCTAAAAGCCTGCGGTTTGCGTCATTTACGGTTGCTCAGATTGTTCTAACCGTGAAACCACGCGGGTCATTCATGGTGTACCAAAACTTAATGTTCATGTTGTTTGAATTGTCCTGTTTCACCTTAAATGGTGCAGCAGTTACAGTTTGGAGTCCGGCGTTATAATCAGGGTGCAGAGTTAACTTTTTTCCCCAACTTGCCCAATCGGCAGGCAGAAGCTTCAGCTCCTACTGTGCTGAACAAATCTTTGTATTTTATAGTGTTATTAAAATATAAATAACCGTACTGTGCTTATATAAGTAAGATTCTTATATTTATATTAAAGCAATAAGCCACTTGAGGCTGTGCGTTACTGCGATTTTATCACAGGGAAGGGTGGTTGTTAGGCACAACGGCTTATTGCTTTTATAAAACGGCGGCCGACATAAAATACACAACTTTACTGAAAATAATCTAAGTTATCATTAATAATAATCGACATAACCAAGTATTCTGCCAAGAAATGTAGTTCCTTTCGAGTATGGTATTGTTGCCAAGAAACCACGGACTGCTGAATGAGGAGAATGTCCGGTCGGCCATCGCTGTGTATTGTGGTCATTTCATGAATTTTTTTTTTTTTAAGATTTTGTTGTACAATAATGAACATATGACAACACAGCACCCGAGCTGTCATTTGGAAAAGGAGTGTAGGTCATACTTATAATCCCTCTCCTGCAATAAACACCTCACTGCGCTTCCTCCGGTTTCACTGGGTCTTGTCACTGATTGGCTGGTTAGGGAGGAGAAGAGGAAGTCCAGGAAGAGTTCCCTTTAGGAATGTGTCTGACCTTAAAAACCCTTCCTGTCTGACGGAGCCAGAAAATCAGCAACACACATTCACCGACAGGCCACTTCATTAAGTTCTCTACACTCAGTTATCGACTTTATCAGCTCCACTGACCACACAGTCTCACTCTGTAGATCTACAGTTACAGACTGTAGTCCATCTGTTTCTCTGATACTTTGTTAGCCCCCTTTTACCCTGTTCTTCAGTGGTCAGGACCCCCATGGACCCTCACAGAGCAGGTACTATTTGCGTGGTGGATCATTCTCAGCACTGCAGTAACACTGACGTGGTGGTGGTGTGTTAGTGTGTGTTGTGCTGGTACGAGTGGATCAGACACAGCAGTGCCTGCTCTGTGAGGGTCCATGGGGGTCCTGACTGAGAAATATGGAGCGAGATAACAGATCTTGTTTTCATTGTTAAGCATCGCTCTGTGCCTGGTGGCCGCAGTAGTTGCCTTCAGTGATGATGACATCACTTTCGATAGTTTTGAATGGCAAAGTTTGTGTGATATTTGAAAATTTGTTCTTGATCACCAGATTAATTACAGTTTCATGACCAAATTAAAGGCAATGAATGTGTTTACAGGCACTCAATAATCTGATAACTGCAGAAAATCAGATTGTGTCAGTAACTGGTTCAGTGTGTTTTTGTGCTCTTGAGGTCTAGGTCTACATGAGTCAGGCAGAAATCAGATCTCTGCTTTAAAACCAGCCAGTAAACTCACATAATAAGATGTGATGTAAACGTAACACAAAACTCAAACCTTATGAGTCACTTTAGTGGAAAATATGAACAAACATCATCTAGAAGATGAAGAATAGTTAAATCCTTCATTTGGTCGAGCGTGTAGTCGGTTTCAGCGTCGCTCCTAAAGTGCTGTGCTCGTCTCGGGGGTGCTGTGTTAAACGCTGCTCGCTGTTTCCGGGACGACGCTCTGTTTTCACACATGCTCAGACTGAGAGAAACGAAAGAAATCAGAGTAAGAGTTCACACTGAAAAACCCCATTACTGAGCTCAGATCCAGCCTCTTTATCAGATTTCTAGACCTTAATCTGATCTAAGAAATCAGAGTTTGCTGTTTACACGACCACTTAATAATCAGATAACTGCAGAAATCTGATAATGATTAGATTATTAAGTGTATGTAAAAAACCCATTGATAACTACAACCACAACTTCTCCTGAACTGAGTTTTATTATGTTTTTTATTTGTAAAAGAGTAAATTTCAGTGTTTGTTCTTGTTTTCCTAAATCATTTAATGGAAACCAAGTAACTGTTGAACTCCATACACACACACTGACCCCCTCACCCATCACAGTGAGACTCACTAGGGGAGTGTGAGTGTGTGTGTGTGTCTGTGAGTGTGTGTGAGTGTGTGTGTGTGTGTGTGAGTGTGTGTGTGTGTGTGTGTGAGTGTGTGTGTGTGTGTGTGTGTCTGTGTGTGTCTGTGAGTGTGTGTGTGTGTCTGTGAGTGTGTGTGTGTGTGTCTGTGTGCGTCTGTGAGTGTGAGTGTCTGTGTGTGTCTGTGTGTGTCTGTGTGTGTCTGTGAGTGTGTGTGTGTGTGTGTGTGTGTGTGTGTGTGTGTGTGAGTGTGTGTGTGTGTCTGTGTGTGTCTGTGTGTGTCTGTGAGTGTCTGTGAGTGTGTGTGTGTGTGTGTAAGTGTGTGTGTGTGTGTGTGTGCGTGTGTGTGTGTGTGTGTGTGTGAGAGTGTGTGTGTGTGTGTGTGTGTGTGTGAGAGTGTGTGTGTGTGTGAGTGTGTGTGTGTG